GGTTTTCTCAAATCAATGAAAATAGAGCGAAATCGGAAAGTTACCCAAACTCGTCTTAGCACATCAGATGTTCAGCTGCATATTCAAACGCTCGTCCACCATCGTTGTTCAATATGCAGAAGTCTTCTAGTATAGCTTTCCAAAAGTTGAGATTGAAACTTCTCAAGGCTTGCGTTTTGTAAAAAAATCGATAGAAAAATTTTACTGCTCAAATGGATGGTTAAGTCGATGTTGTTAGGATTCGCGCAAATTAACTTGGCTTTCATGCGATATTCCATCGAGGTATTTAGCTGTAGCGACTTCTTCCCACATGCAACTCTTCACATTCCCTGTACTTGTTTGCGCGGGGATATTTAAATAGTTCAATAAACGCATTTGCGAGCTTGAATTGTTGCACCTCCATCAATTTACCATATATATATGACTTCTTCTGTGATAAAAATGTGCTCGATATTTGATCACATTTCAACTCACTCACCAATCTTTCCAATCGTATTTAAATTTTAAATTTAATTAGCTTTGCGAGTGAATCCGAAGGACGTGCGTTTAAAAATTCAATCATTGCTACTGGTTTCAATAGATTGTCAGAGCAAATTATTCAAACCGTGTAAAATCTAAAATGACTCTTCTGTCAAATATTGGCTACGTTGACAACCCTTTGAGGAGTAGTTTAGTTCCCGTCTATTGCCTCTTCCAGCATGAATTCAATTAAATTTCATGTCACATTAAGGATTCGAGTTTTAATAGTGATAATATTGACGAGATCATGCTAAAAAGATATTGGCACGTGGACTGGAAGAAATGGAAAGACAATTCAATGAAAATTAAATGAAATGGGGGTTATCGAGCAAATTAAAATATGGTTTAAGCACGCTCAGGTAAATCAAAGCCACATTGCTAAAATAGCGGAACGAATCTCCAATAGACTGAGTGTACTGAAGCTTCTTGCTGGTAGCGTATGGGGCTGTGCGCGCTCAACTCTCAACACCACTTACATATGGGGCTGTGCGCGCTCAACTCTCAACACCACCTACAAGCATGGGGCTGTGCATAAAGCTTCTTGCTGGTAGCGTATGGGGCTGTGCGCGCTCAACTCTCAACACCACTTACAAGATGCTTGTTCAATCAATAATGCCGTATTGCTGTGAGCCACTCATTACAGCCACTGAGGTGATTCTCAATCCACTCGAGAAGGCACACAACCAAGCATTACGACCCACTCATTACAGCCACAGAGGTGACACTCAATCCCCTCGAGAAGGCACACAACCAAGCATTACGACTAATTTCACTCGAGAAGGCACACAACCAAGCATTACGACTTATTACTGGGAGGAATAAAATCAACACCCATTGATGCAATGCTCCAAGTTACAGAAGATAGAAACACTTGATGCAATGCTCCTGGTTACAGGATAGAATTACACACCCAAATTACGACCAATTACTGGAGGGATAAAATCAACACCCATTGAGGCAATGCTCTAGTTACAGGAAGACACCACAATAGGCTCCCTTATCAAGAAGGTTACGGAAGATAGAAACACAATTACGACCAATTACTGGAGGGATAAAATCAACACCCATTGAGGCAATGCGCCTGGTTACAGGAAGCACCACAATATGTTCTCTTATCAAAGAGATGGCCTTGATCCTGTATGAGAAGCTACCTCATCAAAGAAAAGGCCTTGATCCTGTATGAGAAGCTACTTACATTCCCATGGATAAGTTCTTCAGCACCCATGAGTATAGACCAAGACATCTGAAAACGCAATCTGGTTTAATACAATCACAAATCAATGACAAACCAAAAAGCCTCCCTCTTCCCATGTGTCTAATACAGAAAGCCATAGAACTGAAGAAAGAATTCCTTTATAGACCAAGACATCTGAAAACGCAATCTGGTTTAATACACGTTACAAATCGATCATACCAAACGTCTCTCTACCCATGAACCCATTAGCAGACACTGATGGAGTTCCTCTACCCATGAACCCATTAGCAGACACTGATGTAGAGTATTGCATCCAACTGCTTGACTACTTCAGCAAATCAAACACCCCTCCAGAACAAATGCTCTCACTGGCCCTTGAGACAATCAATGTCAACTATCCTGCAGACCAATGGCTCCAGTGATGTTAACTATCCTGCAGATCAATGGCTCCAAGTCTTCACCGGGTCATATATAAGTCTGCACTGTTGAGGCCATGGAAAGCCAAGGAAACGTTGGTGCAGGTGTCTATTCTGAACTCTTCTCATCAATGGCCCCTAGTCATTACTGATGGGTCATACATAGAAAACCTCTTTCACACAGCATTGGTGCAGGTGAGTCATACATAGAAAATCAAGCAAACATTGGTGCAGGTGTCTAGAAAAAACGTTGGTGCAGGTGAGTCATACATAGGCTCCAAGTCTTCACTGATGGGTCATACATAGAAAGCCAAGCAAACGTTGGTGCAGGTGTCTATTCTGAACTCTTCTCTTTCTACGCAGCCATGGGGCACAATAGATCAGCTTTCGAAGGAGAAATAGAGACTATTAAGATAGAAATGAGCGAATTATGTTGCCTGGATAGTAAATTCACCAAAGCGTTGATACCTCCGGACTCACAGTCAGCAATAAACTCTATTGAAAGCAGAGAACCACCCAAAACAGCTGAGATAAAGGAATGTAGAAGACTCTAGCAGCTGCTGAGAGAGAATAACAAAACAGTGGTCCTACAATGGATTCCGGGTCACTGTGACATTAAAGTCAATGAGCTTGCTGACACACTTGCTAAGAAGGGGACAACGATTTTGCAATGCATTTACCGGCCGATGTCTTTCTACTCAATGAAGGATTAAATCATGAGAGAATTCCAGATCTCAAGGTGCAACGAACTTAAAACTCGAACAAAGGAGAAACAGTGGACAGTGGCACTCTCCGACATAGCCGACTGGCCAAGAATCGAAGCCGTTGCTGATTTTAGACTACGTTCCGGACA